GGGGGTCATTGGGGGGTTCGGTGGGTTTGCGGATTTGGGTGCGTGGGAGGGAGGAAGGGGTTGGAAGGTTGGAGCGGGTGGGGAGGGAGGAGGGCCCGGGGCGGATGGAGGTGGTGCGTTGGGGGAGGAGACTGTGGCGTTTGGATGGGTCGGTTGGTTTTTGAGATGCCATGTTTGATGTTGGAGGTTGTTCGTGGTTGGGGTACCGGTCGAGGGCTGATGTTTGTTGGTGATTGAACGTTGAATGCCAATTGCCAAATAGCAAACGGTGATAGCCCCTGGTTGTGTTGATCGACGACAAGGTTGTCCCCACTTGGGTTCTTGTATCAGATGGTCAAAACTGAATGGCTAGCCGGTACGAGGTATTAGCTACGTTCCATGTAGCACGGAGTACTTAAAGGTAATACTTATTCCACAAAGCCGTCGGCAAATGGTGTAAGGAAAGAATAATAAAGGCCGATCGTAGGTACAAAGGTTGCATTGGGAGTCTGAGATGTAAACGAACCGAATCGCGACTCTGAGGAGTAAAGTATAGGTATTCATTCGCCCTGAATTCATGTTGAAAGTCTATCTATATGGTACTACTAAACCGCCAGGGAATCCACCATAAAGACATGTACCCAGCCTCTATCCGAATCATCTGCATCCGATCACTGTTCCACATATTGAACGCCATGCTAAACTCCAGGGAAGAAACACTTCGACCACTGTGAAACCCGATTCCTCGAGACCAGTTACAAACTCCCGCTGTGACTGCGCTTCGCATACTCCACGCCCTCCACCGCCGCCGAATCCGTAAACCATGTCACCCGCTCCCCCGCAATCTCATTAATCTGCGCACACGGCAACCTCTTCCCCTCCTCCGTATCGAAAATCTCCCTTAAAATCTCCTTCTTCCCGCCCCCCGTTGCCACGAACGCGATGTTGATCCCATGGGACGCCACCGGCAGCGAAAACGTCACGCGCTTCGGCGGCGGCTTCGGTGAGTCGTCGATCGACAGCACCCACGCCTCCGTCTCCTTCAGCAGCGGCGACCCCGGGAACAGGCTGCATGTGTGCCCGTCTGGGCCGCAGCCGAGCAGCAGCAGATCGAACATCGGGAGCCGCACGCTGTCACGCGCCGCGAACACCTTCACGAGGGTCTGCTCGTACGCGTCGGCCATCGCGGGGATGTCGTCGAGGAGCGCCGTGTCGATCGGATAGACCGTCGGCGTCCCCAGCGCTGCCGGGATGCGGTCAAGGAACTCCTCCTTCACGAGGCGGTAGTTGCTGTCCGCGTCATCGAGGGGGACAGCCCGCTCGTCGGCGAAGAAGATGTGCCATTTGGAGAAATCGAAGGGGGCCTCGGAGGCGGGGGATGTTGGCGTCAGGAGGGCCTGGGCGAGAATCTTAGGGAGGGAGCCGCCCGAGACGGCGACGCGGAAGGCGTCGTGGCGGCTGAAGGCGCTGTTTTGGGAGTCGAGGACGTAGGCACGGAGGCGTTGGGCGAGGTCGTCGACGGTGTCGTATGCGTGGAGTCCGACTGAGCGAGGCATCGTGTGTGTCCGGATGGATGGGAGCGGAATGCTAAGCGGGGAAGTTTGGAAGGGATTGTGGGAGTAGAGCCGAGTATCGGGGACTGTGGAACGTTTGGGGGGGATTGGAATTGGAGATGGAAACGGGACGACAAGTGACTTGATGATTGATGATGGTTGATGGTGAAACAGTTACAGGACATGTCACCATGTACAGATCATGCGATAGATGGAGCCATGGAGGGGTTGCTGTGGCTGCTGTGAAATTGGCGATGCCACTTTTTTGGTGGCGGTGGCATTCTTTGTCAAAGTGACTCCGTATCAGCACTCAGCACCACGATTCATTCTACTCTTCAGGTACACTAGTCTACACATTTCTACACGATATTATACAGATATCTATTTACATATATCGGTAATTACTGCCGCGTCTCCCATGTCTGTCGTGGTTACCTTGTCGCTTGTGTCAGCATTATGCATCAGTAATTATCAAAGCAAGTTGCAGGAAACTCCTTCTGTACCCCGTCCATGACCTCATCGATCCCTTGTGAGTCGGACTGACCAAGATACGCCGTTCCACCTTTTCAGGGTCTGGATTGTCGACCCTGAACGATCTATCTGGTCTGGGTTGGAATTTCCCGGTGAGTCCCGTCTTGTCATCGGTGTTGACGCGCGCGGTGAATGCGCCATTCCGACCCCGTTGCATCAAATCCATCAAATCCGTGAGTTGCTACGGACACATCGAACATCGGACATTGGACGCAGGATGCAGGACGTTTACATGCCGAATACCTCTGAATTACCGACACTCTCCTTTGTCTTCTATGCGACTGAGGAATCAGGTCGCTGTAATGTTGTCGATCATCAGGTCCAGAACCAGCCATACCTCTCTCTTCGCCGCACCATCTTTCTGTTGCGTAACCAATGCCCGCGACGGTATCACGATTGACAGTTGACAGGCGTGGCTATCGCTACATTCGGGCAATCACCCCGCCGATCATCGATAAACCGCCCAGCTGGTTAGTGATGTGGTCGCAGTCGAGAAAGTCAAATGCGAGAGCCCGCAAGCGCTGTAAGGGCGACAATTCTCACGTTACACCATGAATATTCGATCAGAGCCGATTCCCAGGGGGGAGTTGAGAAATTTGAACGACGTTTGATACCGTTGATACCGTTGATACCGTTTCACACTAATCCTCCACTCTCCGCTGGGCTATCTGATCATCCTGGACCACCACACGGAAGTGGTAGGATGCGTCGTATACAAATCAATCGGGGGCGCCAGTTCTCTCGTTCATTTCTTACCTTCATGATTCTGAATTCTCAAGTCGGCGGTTTCATCTTCCATCTTCTATCTGATCTCCGTGCTCTCCTGTCACATTTCTATTTATCAAGAACCCTACCGACCGTTCCTAACTTTCCTCACCGCAGATCAAATATCTGATTACCCATTCGTCTCCATATCAACTGAGAAAATCCCCGAATCTCTCCATATCACACTTCACTACCACCCAAATCCTTCCATCCCCTCCCCCCCCAACCACCATGTCCGACTCCCAATCCACCGCCGACGTCTCCAAGCTCCTCCAACTCCAAACTGCCGTCGCCCACGGCATCCCCCGCTCCTCCATCCAACCCCTCACAAACTCCTCCGACCCGCCCACCACCACTTCCTCCGCCAGTACTTCCACTTCCGGCTCCTCCGAGGCCGCCTCCCCCGTCGGCACGCGTTGCGGGCGATGTCAGCGGACGACGCCGTCGCCGGACGCGAGCACCGTGTCGACGGGGGCGTGTTCGTGGTGCGCGGCGAAGTTGGAGGGGTAAGGTGGGTTGATTGAAAGATGGGTGGGATGGAGTTATTATTTTATGTTGGGCCTGGGATTTACTTTACGAGCGCGGGAAACCTTGACGACAGTGCGTGATTTTACGATTGAGGATGCCTTTGATAGAAGGAGAAGGGGAGTTTTTCCATTTGTTTTTTGCGTTCGCGTTGATTGCTTAGCGGAGGTGGAGAGGTTGGAAGAGAGGGGGGAAAAAAGGGATTATTTCCCTCATGCCGGGGACATGTTGAGAGGTTTTCATATCACTGTTCAACATGTCATCCTATCCGGGCCGCAATGCAGGACTCAGGGCAGCACGAACGACAAGCGAGCAGGAATTGCGGTTTCGTGCAGATGTGTACAATGTACACCTACCAATTCCATTCGCAGGAGCGAAAGGGGATGAACGCAGGAATACGATTTGCGCATTCGATCCAATGTTTCTGGTTATCTACTCCGTACCAATCAATCACTTACTCTTCCCATCATCGCTATCCATTAAACCGTCGCCATGGATTGAACCCGGTCAGTTCCCATGCCCTGGCTCGGCTAGATCGGAGGAATCCCATGACTTCAGTTGGGATCCCGTCGTCAGCGATCGAGGGAGATCAGTGGGCCAATCTGATCGCCAGGATGTGGGTGGATGTGTCGATCGTAGGGGGGCGAATCGGGATTGGAATGGGGGATGGTGGTTGGTGGTTGGGTGAGGGTTGAGGCACAGGGGAGGGGCGGGGTCAGGGGGTGTGGATGCGAATCGCGATGTTCGGGGAGAGGGGAGCCAATGAGGGGCAGGTTACGGCTGGAGAGATCGAGAATCGAGATGGATGGGATAGAAGGATTGGGAGATTTAGGAGATGATGCTTCGTGAGTGGACCTGGACTCTAATTTATTTAGGTGTATTGCAACGAAGGAGTTTGGTGTTTTGAGGAAGTGTGTCTATGATTTGGCATCAAATAGCCCAACATATCGTAGCCCTCTAGGTATAGGGACCTGGTGCCTGATCCGTCCATCCATGACATATTCCCCTTCATCAGTCCTGAAATCCCATATTTACCAAGACCAAGCGCCCGGAATCCCCTCAGACGCCTCATGATCATCCCGTCCTCCCACCCTATATTGCCGCATTGCGCCTCATCCGTCAAGCACTTCCTATATCCAAGAGCCCCAGTCCCAACCCGCCGTATTGAAGCTCACAATGAAAAGCTCGGCGCGCCCGAAAACCCCGAGAGGAACGTCTGCGGCGTCCCCGGCCGATAACTCAGCCCAGTGGTCGACCGCGAATAGGGGCTTCCTGGCCCCCCGCTCCCACTCTCCCCACTGACGCTGACGCTCCGCCCCTCACTCTCCGCCACGCTCTCCGCCGTCCGCCCCGCCGACTCCAAGACTAGACTATCGCCTTCTCCACCATGAACACCCCCACCCCCACGCATCATCTTCACATCACCCCCCATCACCGGCGGCGCCTCCCTCCCCCACCCCTTCCGGCCCCCTCCCCCCTCTTCATCCACCAACACAACTACCCAAACCCCCACACCCCCTCCTGCACCACACAACGGTGTACAATGAATCCACCTCGGCCTCCCTTCCTCCCCCCGCATCTTCCCCTCATCTCTCCTTGCGCCCCCTTCATCCCCCTTCCCACTCCCTCCATTCCCATGATACGTGCGCCCCTCCCGCCTCCCTGTCACCCACCGAATCTTCGCCGTGACCCCCCGGCCCGCGGCCATCGCGGCGGCCAATTCGGCGCGTACGCGCGGCGCGCCAGAGATGTGGTTGAGGAAGGGGGATTGGAGGAGGCCGGGGACGCGGAGGGAGGGGGAGGTGAAGAGGATGCGGAGGGAGGGGTGCGGGCGGAGGAGGAGGTACTAGGGTGGTTTAGTGGTGATTGAGGTGCTGGGAGGGGGTACGTACGTGTTTGTAGACGGAGGAGAGCGGAGGAGAGGGGGGAGGGGGGGAGGGAGTGTGCGGGCGGAGGCGGTGATGGATGATGGAGGTGGCGTCATGGTCGTGGTCGTGGGCGTTACCGAAGCGTTCACGGTGCATGCGCCCGCCGACTTTTTTCACGGAGTCGAGTTCCGCCATGTTGAACATCTCGCAGAGCTCCCGGAACTCATCTGGTCGCTCGGGTTCCTCGCCGGTATTCGTCCCCGTCTTCGCTTCCTGCTTCTCCAGCATGCGTTGGAACGCCTCCAGTTCGGTGCACTCCTTCACCAGCCCGCTGACGTCAACCTGCGCGCCGAGGTAGTACCGCAGCTTACCCTTGTTGTCGAGTAACGGCGCGACCATCAACAGGTTCATGAACGGGGAACCGTCTCGGTGGCTGTGGGACGGTCAATCGCTGCGTGCAGGTCCTTGATTTCGGGCGACTTACTAATTCAGGAACAATTCGCTGTGCTCTTTACCATTCGCGATGGCTTCACGTATCCTTCGAGTACTATCTGGACTCGTCCGCGGACCCTGGAGGAATCGGCAATTGCGCGCCATCGCATGGCTCACACCATATTGTGTCATGCGATGAAATTCTACACATCAATGAGTATCGTGAACCGCAACGTAAACAACTCTCTCCGAATCATTCAACGTACCTTCGGACGCAAATACAATCGGATTCTCCGCCCGCGTCGGATCCGTAAGACAGAACACCTCCCCCAGCCCCTCCGACGCATCGAGCAGATGGGAAGGCAGCGTGCCGGTGATCCGCCGCTGCACGCGCACACTCGCCACCTGAATAAAAACGTGCACGACATATGCCGGCAGATCCTCGTTCACCAGGACCTCGAACGCCTGGCGCGCCTTCTCCTCCAAAACAGCGTTCTGCGTAGGGCGAGCCTGGCATTCGGTGAATGGATGCCCCGTGATGGGCTCCAGGGCCTCCGCGACCGCATTGGCGTATTTGATTGCCCGTAACGCCTTCAGTGCGTCTAGATAGTAAATCAGCACTGGGATGGATTGCGGCCGGCGGCGGTGTAGGAAGGAGGTGAAGCGGAGGAGGTCCTGCGGATCGCTGACGATGGATTCGAGATGCTCCTTGGAAAATAGCTGCTCGGATCGACGCTCCAGGGACGAATCCTCGCTGGGGACACTGGTTTGCTCGACTAGATCGAAGGATTTCGGGTCGTCCTCGAGTAAGGGCTGGAGTCGGTCACTATCTTCGGCATGGAGTTTGCTTTGGAGAGGCGTATGATTGCTTGGGATGGATGAGGCTTTGGTTTCGTAGGAGATCACCGAGTCGGCGGAGCTCCGTTTACGAGAATCGGGGGTGGTTGGTGCAGGTGAACTGCATGGCTGGAGACTTTGTCTCCTCTTCTTGGATTCACGGCCTCTGGTACTACTCGTTCGGGACGGAATGTGAAACTCGTTCAGAGAATGATCCTTCGTAGGTGTAGTTACGTCCTGATACGGAGAAGTGGGCGTTTCGAATCCCTTTATGGGACTGGTTTCGCTTGAGATCGATCCAACTCTTTCGCCGCCTTTCCCGCGCACATATCGATCCATGTAATCTTGCACGAGGGGGCCAACCTTCAGTTTCAGCTGATCAATTCTGGAATCAAGTTCACTTGGGAGATTGGGGGTTGAGTCGATCGCACGGATCGTCGAGGTGCTGTCTGTCGACATCTTAAATGCCGAAAAGTCCACTTGACTACGGGAAGCAGGTCGCAATGAGCTGTCATATGCGGTAGACCCGTCTGGAAACGAACCATTGTAGCCGTTTGGAAGCTGCGAAAGGTTTTTGTCAGACCGACGTCGTCCAAACAGTTTTCGCGGAAGGCCCATGGCGGCGGTTCGAGAACGTCACGGGATGAAGAGGAGGGCAGCAATGAATGGAACGAAGTGGAAGGGCTACGGATGACATTTATGGAAGGGTGATGATACGTGCGTACCACCATGTACACTCACCAGCGTGGTCATAGTCAAACGCGTGCTGTACACAAGAGATCGATTTTCGGTACCTTTTCAAACGAGACAACACGCTGGCCCAAATTACGTCCCAGAACTTCGGATGCCCGCGGTATTCGACCTCGTGGAGGGCAATCGCCCACGCGTTTGGTTCGTCGATGAAGTGAGGTGATGGGACCGAAGGGGTAGGCTAAGGAAATAAGGAGCTTTGCGATGGGACTGAGCAACCCACAGAGGGGCTTAGGATATGCGTGATCGGACAACCAGATGCGCTACCACCCGCTGCAAGCATTAATGAGATCGGGCCTCAAGGATTTAGAGGAAGCATCAGATCGGATTGGAGGACGGGGTTTGGTACGGGTGGTACGGGAGTACGGGAGTGACAAGAAGCACCAGAAAAGGGAGTATTGTGGACTTACGAACTGTGTTTTTTTACGTGTGCTTCGGTGGTTGCATCCAGGACACCCAATGATCCCATTGACAGATACAAAGAAACTAGTAAAGTTGAACGCGTCAATCCTCTCCCCTGTGTGGCCCTACGCCGCAAGACCGCAGATCCAGTGGACCCGATTAATGGGCAAAGGTCCGCTGGTGCACCTTGCCAGATCTCGGCGGGGCAGGACGGGTTCCCGTTGGCTAGAAGATAGGGGAGGTTTTATTATGAGATAATGAGGTCAAACGCAAGGAAAGAAGAAAGCTGCATAACTCAGCCAGGCGGGAGACATATTTCAGGAGTTCAGGCCGATTAGCCCCGCAAGGGACGAATGGTTGAACTGTTGAACTCATTGAAGTGGTCGCTGATGAATAGGGGTCGCTTACAGGCTGCAGCATTCAAGAAGGCAGGAACCGAAACGCTGACATCAGAGGACAGTCCTATGTCGTAAGATTCGGTCGGCAGGGCTGTGGACGGGAAACTTGGCAGGGGTCCCCGTGTCGGAACAGGTGGTGGCCCGGTGCCCATGTACCCATCAAATCCAACCAACAACCCTGTTATCACGATCCCTGGGCGACCGCGAAAGAGACCAGCTGGTTGTTCTAATTGTACGAGGCTGGTGAAAGTCATCAGAAGCTTGACATCATGGATATTTTCAGTGTCGGACATTTTTCTCCATCTGAAAAACTAAAATCTTAGTTTGAACAAGATCAGGAGCCGACAGGTCCGCCCGTGTGCTAAGTAGATCTTTCAGCTGGCGTTTCTCCCAGGAATGCATGGACTGGGTTAGGTGACATATGTTGTGCCACATGGCAGAGGGGATGCAATCCACTATTTGGACAGGGTATGTAAATCGATATAATATCAAGGACGGAATCTGCAATCCGAGAGATTGGTCCTTGGTTCTGTATAGTGCTGGAACTTGGAAGACTCGATTACATATGGGTAAGTGTATAAATGTATAAGGATATCTAGTGCTGTTCTAGAACTCATGCATTCAAAAGAGGTTCTCTTTCTCCTGCTTCACTATCGTCTTCATCGGCCAAGTCTTTCTCAGTCCGAGATGGATATAATCTGGCCACTGTAAGCTATCGTCCAACCTCAAATTTAAGAAGCCATACATGTAATGCTGCACGATGAAGATGATGTCGAAAATCATCGAAACGTTCCCTAGAGCAAACTTGACCGGATTTCCCGTAATCCCAGACCAGTCGGCGTCAAGAGATGAGTCGACAACCATCTGTAGAATCGATGTGATGCCTCCGGCGAAATCAAGGAGTATCTGACCCATGCTCCAACCGACGGTGGATTTTCGCTGGTAATTGACCCATACCTGTGGACAGTACTTTACCACCGTTACAAGTACCTTCACAAATCCGACTGCGTAGATCTCGAACCCGGTTAGTTTCCAGAAACCAAGAGAATGCATGCCCCACTTACCACATCAATCCAAGCCCATCCCAACGGGTCATTGCCGCCGTCCTTCGATAATATCAACACAATCAAAATGACCCCAAAGACACCTGCAATAGATCCAGTTACAATCCCCCGAAATACCCAACTGGACCTCTGGTTCCGGCCAACCTGGAAACCCCAGATGAGCGGGAAGAACTGCGAGTAAGTGATGATTGACAAGATGGCTCCGTGCAGCGCAAACGCAAAATCATTAAATCGTACACTTGGCACTTGGGAAATCGGATGTCGAAACGCATATTGCGAGCGGATCGTAGGCGAATAGAGGAAGACGGCGGTCGAAACCGAATATGCAGTGAAGCCTAATACACAACATAAGACTTCGTGGCTCAAGGCTCCAGCAACCGATCGACTTGCCTAAGATGTTTGAGAAGGGAAAATCGACGGCTAGGCCTACCGTCGAATTTCTACGAAAGTTCTTGATGGCTTGTGGGTAGAAGGAGAATGACCAGCAGAGAAAGCTATGTCCTGTGTAAGGAGTCTAGGTTATGAATACGAGGGATCTTGGCTCACTAGAACCAGCCCAGGAAATGTGATGTGGCTCGCCATATCTCTTCTGTGGCAATCATCATATCCGATGACAAGGTTCAAGCCCGATGTCCGCAAACAGCGACATGCAGGTATGGGTCTGTAGTCTATATCTGCCAGTGAAGGCAAGGTAAACAGGAGCAGAGAAGGCTATAGGCTACTAAGAATAGGACGGTTGATAAGGACAATATGGGCTATCAAAGGCATTGTGCCTAAAGGAATTCTACACTGTAATGTAGAGGAAACATCATGTGTGTATCTAGTGACAACCTATTAGTAGACTGAAACGGTCAAAGCATCGTGATGTTGAGATGGACTTTAGCGCCGTCGTAATCGCACGCGATCTCATTCCATGATCCATCCATCACGCTCCAGGTTTGGTCTCACGCGGTCACGTGGTCAAAAGCTCCTTCACGTGTTTTAATCAGACCCTGGCCCACTTATTTCCAGTTCTGGATTAGCTCGTTCACGTGATCGCTCGCATCGCCAACCTCACCCCAATAGCGACGTCAACGAACGAGCCGCTCGCCATCCAACCTCCCATCATTCTCAAGAGTTTCGGGTCTGAAACTGTGCACATTACCTCCCCTTAATGCTAGGTCAACACATTGCTTGCGACATGTGGACGCGTCACACGTGACACGTCCCAAAGTGACCGCGATCCCCACAACCGCCCCCCCCGGGTCCGGCACTCTCTATCACTCCTGGGATTCATACTCTTTGCGCCTTTCCGCCATGGCCCTTTCACCGGGAACTCCAAAAAGAAGCTCTGCACGTCGTCCAGGTCGCCAATCACTCCAATCCACTCCCACCGGCGCGCAGAGCGAGCCCCCCTTCAAGAAACGTAGATACGTGCCTGGGGGGCCAGGTGGCGGCGGCAGATATATCGACGACGAAGGGAACGAAACACCGGTTGGTGGCACAGGACCTGGAGGATACGCGTATTCAGGTCCTCGGGGCCGCGTTGGGCGGATGAACGCTGAACTTGGGATTGTTCCCCCACTACCTCCACCTCCACCTCCACCTCCACCTCCACGTTCACCTCCGCCTATCCTTTCCCCACCCCCTGCAACGGCCCGTCGAACGCGAATATCCTCTTTCACGCGACCAATAAGGGAGAAGGAAAAGATGGAGGAACCTAAACCGCGTTACACGTCGGCTGCGGCTGCGGTCGCGGCATCGACACAAGGCGAAGCATATAAGCCTCGCGAGGAGCGGGGATGGGAGGAGTTCCATCCCGACCTAGAAATCGATACCAGATTCATGGTGTTGTCTGCCGACGAGGTGGATGGAGTGGCGCCACCTTTGCCAAACCAACTATTTCTCGATCCAAACCGCTTTCGGCGTCAATCAGACCACGCTTTATCGGACGCTGGCGCGAATCTGATAGGCGATTCCTCACAAACACTACCCAATATTACAAGCGATACAAATACAATCATCGATGCGCCGGCGCTTGTGCCCCCTCCTCCACCACCCGTTATCAAAAGACGGCCCGGAAGGCCCCCTCGGCGGCCGGAGTCCATGCTCACAGGGCTCGGTTCTCCACCTCTCCCTCGAATCATTCCTCTACAAACCGTAAACCCGAAAGAACGGCTCAACCTCCCCAAGCCGCAATATAGAAAGGTGGACACATTCTCGAAATTCGAACAAGACCACGCCGTTTCAGTCAACTACGTGGACCGGACGCTAGCCGGCGTGGGGTATCAAGAGAGCGATCTCTTCCTCCGTCCGGAACGGATATACATCCGTGGCTCCGAAGGCTCCTTGGATGATGAGTTGGATCTGGCGTTGAGTATCAAGGCCGATGAACAAGGATCTGGGACCACGGTTGGACGCGTGGAATATGATATGGATGAGCAGGACGAAAGATGGCTAGAGGATATCAACACGCAGCGGCGGACAGAAGGAGTCGATCCGATCAAGCCGGCGATTTTCGAGGTCACCATGACCCAAATCGAAAAGGAGTGGTACGCTCTGGAAAAACGTAAGTTTGTAGCCAGCGATAATTGGACGCTTTCTTACTTGTATAGGGATTCCTAAACCAAACCCCAAACCGCCTCAGACTCACCGTCCGCGATCAAGTTCTGCTGCGGCCGTCAATGGTGAGCCGGTTGGTCAAGGCGAAGAACAGGACACCAAGTGCGCGGTCTGTGACGATGGAGATTGTGAAAACACAAATGCAATTGTTTTCTGCGATGGTTGCGATCTTGCAGTCCATCAAGAATGCTACGGCGTCCCGTTCATCCCGGAAGGTCAATGGCTGTGCCGAAAGTGCCAGCTCATTGGTCGAGGAACGTCGGTAAGTTAACGCTTGATCCTGTGACCAAGGATGCATGATCTGATTGAAATATAGAACTGTATATTCTGCCCCAATGTCGACGGAGCATTCAAACAGACGAACAACAACAAGTGGGCACACTTGCTCTGCGCTTTCTGGATTCCGGAAGTATCTCTCGGTAATACCGCTTTCATGGAGCCGGTGATGGATGTCGAGAAGGTCCCGAAACAACGATGGAAGCTCGTAAGTGAATTGCGCACATGACCTTGCCTGGTGCTAACTTGGGTAGACATGTTACATTTGCGAACAGCGAATGGGCGCTTGCATCCAATGCGGTAATAAGAATTGCTTCAAAGCGTTCCATGTGACGTGCGCCAGACGATCAAAGTTTTTCCTCAAGATGAAGCTGCCTCAGGGCGGGCTTGCGATGGATACCAGCGTCCTCAAGGCATTCTGCCATCTGCACGTGCCGAACGATTGGCGGGATGAACACGATGTAGAGGCTGCAACTTCGGATGCGAGGGCGTTCTATCAACGGACCATGAAAGGCAAACGATGGGCAGACAGCCAGCAGACAGCGTTGTCGGCGTCGGCACCCCAGCTTCTCGGAGATGGTGATGGGGACCTTGGCGACGAGGGGATATCGCCAGCAAAGAAACGTAAACGAGACCAGGCCATCAAGTCGATATGGCGGCTGCCTTCTGGCGCCCCCGTCGTCCCCCACGTTGTCTACCACAACGTCGAAAACACACTCATCCGCTTCGCCATCCGGAAACGTAAAGAGTTCATCGCCGAGGCGTGCAAGTACTGGACACTCAAACGCGAAGCTCGTCGCGGAGCGGCTCTGCTCAAGCGACTTCAATTACAACTCGATACCTTTTCCTCGATGGAGATCACACGGCGCAACTTTGTTGGAATGGGCGCAGCTGGCCGCCCTCGATTACAACGCCGAATTGAGTTCGCCGAGCGACTTGAAGATGAAATGGAACAAATTCGACAGCTTTGCCATCAGATCAAGGAGCGTGAGCAAGTCAAGTTGGAGGATGCAAAGCTTATGAAGAATATCATCGATACGGTCTATTTTCCTATTCCTCCACTACTACGGCCAATTCTCGACAAAGCAGCAAGGTAAGCCAACTTCTTGTCCGCAATGGTTGACCACGTTAACCATTCCTCAGCCAAGACTCTAAGAACTACTTCTCGTGGGGGCTGGAGCAGGTTGATCAGAAAGTGAAGGGCTATGAATACACCTCCGTTGCACCGTTCTCCACGGATTTGCTCTCCGTCTTCCATGCCGCGATCAACATCGAAAGCGCCAATCACTCCGATGCGAAGTCCATCAACGTTATCGTACCCCATAGCGCTCTCACCGCCGACCAGAAGGATAAAAAGAAGCACGCTAAACGAATTGCAAGAGCGCTCAAGCCATTACTCGAGAACGCTCTACGGTGCGAGACGGATCTTTGCGGCCGTACCTTCGAGAAGGAGCTTAGTCAATGGGAAAGTTTCATCACCAGCAAAGAGCGACGGGAATCATTCGTCGTCTCTACGTATGGAGATACGGTGGGCCATATCACCGACGACGAACATCAACACGGCACTGCTCCTGCACCAATGACGAACGGGGACGCCGAAATCACACAGGTTCATCATTCCAAACCTGAAGCTCTCGATGACCACCAGGACGTAACGATGGTCAACGGTATCGAGAACGAACTCGAAGCGAAACACCCTCCTGGAGATGACGTCCCACAAGAGCAACTCGAACACGCCCGCACCCCCACCGTCGACGCGAAGGACGAAATGACCGACGACGCCGCCATCCAGCGTCAAATCGCTGCCGAAGGCGACCCCCACCCCACCCACGACCACGCCGACATGATGAGCCGCAGCGGCGGTTCCGCGGCCACCCTATCCCTCGGCGGTAGCACCATCCCGTCAACCGTCAACCCCGAGCCGATGACGCCACCGCGCTCGGACCGCTCGCTCGGCGGCTTCCTCAACCAGGGCGGGATCCCATGGTACATGGAAGCGTTCGACCCGCTGGGGACGACGATCCATGATGAGCGGAGGGAGCTGGGGCGGGCGGGGAGTTCGGATTTGAGTAGCATTATGGCGGATGAGGAGATGGAAGGGTTGGTGGAGGAGGAGCGGGAGGTGGAGATAGGGGAGGGAGAGTCGACGGTGGGAGAGGCTGAGGTGGTGAGGTCGAGGGTGAGGGTGATGACGGCGGCAGCGACGAGGGGGGTGAGGCGGAAGGGGAAGAAGCGGAGGCGTTAAGGGGGGTGGAGAGTGGCGTTGGGGTAGGACATTGTATGGTCGTCTCCTGCTTTACTGGATATGGATATGGATAGGGCGTTATTCTCCGGAAATTGCGTGGAACAGGGAGCGAAGCGCACTTTGCAAGTGGCTTTCCCTGATTATTTCCGGAGTAGCACAATACCAGGGTACATATTCTCTCGGCGGGGAAATACGAGACTTGTTTTGCTTCTTCACATAGGTAACCTACAAATTACAATTGTACATTCATCAGGAAAGTCTGCGGGGTTGAACCACTTGTGACAACCACGCTTCCGTATCAATGGCTACCGGAAAGGACGATGCCTAACAACAAACAAGCATGCAATAATATTCATCTCGGTCAGCGTAAACCAATCGTTATACCGCCGGTCATCGCTCGAGGGGATACCCAACAATCCATAACCCATCCGTCCTCCATGCTCCATCCACCTCCCACCAACGATCAGATCCCACACCTACTCCCCCCTCAACCACGCCGGCAGCTCCACCTCCGCCGTCTCCCCGGTCAACCGCCCCTCCCTCGCCGGAAACACCGGAAACGGGTCGTCCGCCCACACGTACTTCTTCCCCGGCTCCGGAAACCGCGTCGTATCCCGCGCATCATCTTCATCGTTGTCCGAATCCCCTTCCGAGTGGCCGTCCCATCGTCGCGCCGCTGCTGCTTCCGGTAAGCCTAAGAAACTTCCGAACAAGCGCACCACATGGTCCAGCATACCAGTCGCGTTCTCCGTATCGCTGCCAGCGGAAGAACCCTCGGCGCGACCCCCGCCCTTGCTGGCCGTCGGCGCGGATGACTCCGGCGACGCGGGATACCGGCGATAGTAATCCGGATCCTCGACAACGCATCGCGCGTACTCGTGCCGCTCCTGTTCCTCGTTCACCAGCACCAACGCCGCCGAATGCCACCCCCCGGCACTGACCGCCAGCGAAAAATGCATCGCCAATCCATCCTCCTCCGCCGTTCCCTTCCCGGCGCCGGCGTTCCCCAGCGCCCACCGCAAGATCCGCTCGCCCGCCGCCTCCACCCAGTCGCTCACCGCGCCGATCGTCCGAAACGCCCGCTGCTGCGCCTCGGTCGTCGCGTTGGGCAGCGGCATGATGTTCGTCCAGGGGGCGCGGGCGGCGCTGGTGTCCGGGTCGGTGGCACCGTTGTTCATGAATTCGAGCCAGCGCTGGCGGGGGGCGTCGAACCAGATTTTGCGGGAGAGGGAGTTGGACGGGGGGGCGAGGATGACATTGGAGCGGAATTGGCGGGGGCGGGATGGGATGAGGCCGCGGAGGAGGGCGGGGCCGGTAGGGGGGGCGAGGGGCCCGAGGCCGAGGGCGCCGGTGCCTTGAGGTTCGGCACCGTGGGGGGTGATGGCGCCAGAGGCGTGGAGGGCGAGGTAGTGGTAGTCGGCGAAGGCGAGGGAGATGACGTTTTGTTTTTGGAGGCTGGCGGGTCGGGTGGGTTGGGGGAGGTTGGAGAAGGGGGGATGGAGGTTGAGGAGACGGATGGAGTTGTCCCAGTATATTTCAAGCAAGACATTTTCGGCAACTAGGACTTCTCCGTTCTCGAGGATGACTCCGAGGGTCCGGAATGAGCCTTGAAGGTGCTTCGCTGAAGGCACATCTGAGTCCTCCGGATGGGAGAGCGCCGGGATTTCGATGATGCGGGAAACGTTGGTAGGATTACCTTCCAACTTCGCTACGAAGATCTTCTTGAGGTCGGTGATGAAGACTAAGTATCCTTCCAACAAGATGAAGTTGAGTACCTCACCTACGGTATCTGCCAGTTCCGGCCATGGGGAATCGTTTGCGCGTCCCTTCTCCGGTCGTTGGAACTGGGTTTCGGGAACCGTGCATTCATCGGGGACTAATCTAGCATCGACCGTCTCCCCGTCTCCAGGCTGTCGCCGGATATCCCAACATTTGATGCCAAGCCCTGATATCAACGCCGCGCTCTTATCCCAGCCGGCCACAACCTTTCTCACGGCGCCATGGCGCCTCGTATCGAGTCCTTTGCCGGTCGGATCCATGGCAACATCGAAGAGGAACCGAATCTCCACCGGATTGTTGTTCAACTCGCTCCAGCACCATGTCGCCCCACTATCCGCGAGTCCCAAAATATGTTTCCTCCCCGCCGAGAACTGTCGAATCGCTCTTCGCGGCACATACTTCTCCTCCCCCTCTTCCTCAAACGGGAACTTCAAAGGCCTTAGATCCGTCGACGCGCCACGCATCACCGACAGGCGTCGCTCACCGTCAATTTCTCCAGCCGTGAACAACCTCCCCTTATCATTCAGCAACGTCGTCGACCACCCCCCACACTGCACGTCCGCGATGATCCCCAGCTTGCGCGTCTTGTCCATCTCCCTTGGATAGTGCGCATCCCTCGTCCCTCCATACCTCATCTGTCGCCTACCCCTCGCGACGCTCAGACTCAGCTGGTTGGGGTCCGTCAGTTCGTTGACATGGCCGAGCCCGCCGGTGCCGTTGGACCCCCAGGTAAAGACGCGGCTCTGGGTGAACATGCGCTGGTATAGGCGACGCCATCGGCGGCCGTCGTGCTCGATCACGGGCTGGTTCGGGACGCGGAAGGTGGTGCGTGTGGCGGAGCTCCAGTAGGGGGCGTCGTCGATGATTTCGGGGGATTGAAGCGCTTTGCAGGTCGCGCAGAGGGAGAGGAAGCTTTTCGCGTCGAGGTAGGGGAAGATGAGGAGTAGGACGTCGACTGGTAGGTCGAGGAGCTTGAGCTTGCTAGGGGAGTCCATGATGGGTTCCTGGGGGTCTATTACTGGAGCAAGGGGCTGAAGTAGACTGTCCGTCTTGGAGGAACTATCTTCTGATGGAGATGTACAGCTTCGAACTAGGATGGATGGGTGCTTAGGTAGAATACTTTAGAAACTGGTATGTTATAGGCTAGTTGTTATGGTAGTACCGGGGACATCTATGGAGAAGACTAGGTTCATATTATCATACCCTCATGCCCTACTATGTAATATCAACATGTTGAACGCTGAGTCTGAGAGGGAGAGCTTCCCTTGGTGTCAATTGTCACTAGTAGCGTGACGTCAATGTCGAGGTCACGTGGCTTGATCTGTGGCTGAGAATAGCCTGAGATAAGATCAGTCAAGCTCCAGTGCTTTCAGTCCAAGAGGTATTTGGATTTGATTATATCTTGGCCCATGCTCCTCTCTTATATCTTACATATCTACAGCTGATATATTCTATCGTCTTGCATATGAATAACAAAACCATCCGCCCGAGGCCCGACCGATTGACGCCAGTCGCCAATGCAACCAATACCCCCAATCCGGATCCTCAAGATCCAATGCACCGAATCTAATCCTATGCTCCTAGCTAGCGTAGCGCCCAATGCACAATCAAAGGCCGACCCCAGAAGATTCCCACATTCCATAATCTCCTGATCTAGCATCTGTCCCTGCACCTCAGCGACGGCCGAACCACCGTCGACCCTTAGACTTCTTGTTACCGTACGTGAACCGGCCTTGGTCCCCTTTGGCATATCCATTCGCCTGTCCATTCCTCCCCTCCCCCGCCTCCGCCATCGCGATGCTCGTCTCTCGCGACTGGTGATGCTTGGTGTGCATGGCGGGGATGAAGTCGACGAAGAACGACAGGAGGTAGAAGGTGAAGATGAGGGCGATCACCCACTCGAGGACGGCCGCGGCGTTCCAGTTGTCTACTCTTTGGAGGGCGCCGAATGCTGTTGTGCGTTAGGTGGCTAGGGGTGGGGGTGGGTGGTGCGCTGGGAGCCTACCGATGGCCAGCGCCACTTCTGTGACGATGAAAAATAGCTTAAGCCAGAATGAGATGCGGAGAATCGAAAGATGCGCGTAGTGGGTGCCGAGGCGCTGATACTCCACGCACGCGAAGATGGCTGAGACGACGTATCCAGCACTATGCACATATTAGTCCACTGTATAGAGATGTCGCCATATCAGGTGAACGTACATGAACAGCCCAAGGAATATTTGGTGCAGCCTGTGGTGATGAAAGGTATCAAAGATTGAGAGCAGGATGATCCCCGCAGCTCCGACAATCGCAAACAGAATGCACAGATTCGACCAGAGCTTCTGCCAAAGGGACGTGTTGCGCTTCAATCGGCCGGAATGGCGAAGCCAGCGTTCCGCGATCAGCGCAATGTCGAAGGAGACGACGGAGACGGCGGCCATGGCGATGAAGAGCGGCTTGATGTCGGTGGCGCCCACATCCGAGATATATCTATACGAGCGGGTTAGAAACTGTCGGGAATTCTCGAGGAGATGCACCTACGCGATTCTCTGGCCGTGTTCCATGGTCTCATAGATCGGTTTTCCATCTCTCACCCATACCAGCAGCAATCCTAGGAGCATTGCGAGCCATACTAGCGATGAGAACAGCGGGAGGAACCAATACGATATCCCCCACATCGCGGCGAGAGAGAGGTCAAGGTGGTGACTTGAAATATAGGGAGGGACAGATGGATAAAGGGAGGAACTACGGAGTCAATCATCAACGATCGAAGCAGACAGAGACCGTCTCTATAAAGATTCTTCAGGTACAACTAAAAAAGACGGCCCAACGGAGTGCGGATTCGAGCAAATATCATTCTTTGGATCCGATCAAGGACCTATTTCCTCGGGCGGTTCTGGGTGCAGATCACTCATCACTGTGTCGTGATGATGTCACCCAGGCAGATCCAGGAGCTTACCAACTCTTCGCCGGACGCGTGACGTCTCCGGGCTGACACTGATCGCCTATCGGCATACCGGAAAGCTCGGAGTTAACACGATATTTCATATGCGGAAGGGCCAAACATCACCCCGCCAGAGGCGCAGCATTGGAAGTGACTATCGAGCAATGGAAGATTGGTCCATGGATGATTGTGTCTTGTGGTGATAGCACGGTGGAGACGACGTCGCATTAAGCTCGTAGTTAGCCATACGGGAAAATTACGCTACGGATTGAAGTACCTTACTTTAATGAATAGGTAAATGGTTTATCCTAAGCATTTTGACAGTAGTTCTAGGTCTAGATCCCGAGACTATCATGAAAATCTTCACCTCATTGTTATAGAAGTAGTATCTGGGCGTACTGGGTTGAAGTGTGTAGCAACTGTCCGAGATTCAACATGACTCAGACTGGAAATTTAGGTATTCAGGCACCAAGGCATCGGAGCATCCGGGCATCCGGGCATCCGACGGCCTGGAGAAACTGAACCTAAAGTGCATATGTGCCTTAACGCCTTTCTGCCTTAACCCCGCGACCGGACGAAATCAGTGATCAGACTGATCTCAAAGCTCTACGACGCCCTTAAGTTCCCCAGGCAGTGATAGAAGGCTCTAGCAACATCCTCTAGCATCTTAGCTTCAAACTGGCCAGACGGCACAAAATGATGACTCCCCTCTAAACCATAATGTCGCTATTGCCTCCGACCGCAAGCCACCTGAACATCACACCTCCAGAAGACATCTATCTCTCGCTCATCGGCTACACCTGGGTTTGTGCCCTCACCACCCGAGACTTGATCGACCTGTGGTTCCACCACCACCCAGGCTGCTTACAGATCCGTCTGAAGGCCTCGTTATCCCTTGGCTTCCTCGTATACACGGGACTCAAGACCGCAGCGGTGCTATGGCGTCTCACGTCGTGGTCATCGACGCACGCTTGAGGCGGGCGACCATCAAGACGTCGCCGAGCAAATATCTCAGCGACATCTTGTCTGAAGCGTGCACGCGTCTCGGCTACAAACCCGATCAATACATCCTAAAGTAAGCAGATCTCCCCAGCATCTCCGCTCGGTTCACCCGACTAATCCACCCTAGACACAAGAAGAAACCCATCGACCTCTCCGTCACCTTCCGCCTCTCCGGCCTCCCCTCCGGTGCCCAACTCGAACTCGTCCAAGGCTCCCGCTCCCCCTCCGTCGTTTCCATCGCCCTCCAACTCCCCACCTCCGAAACCAACCTCCGCCTCACCGACAAATTCCCCAGCAACACGACGCTCTGGCAGATCCTCCGGCAGTTCGAGAGTGGTGCCAAGGGGTCGACTTCCAGGAAACTCAACTTCACCGAGCGCGCCGTCTCGCAGACGCAGACCGGTGCGTCGTCTGGTGCGGGGCGGATGTACTATGAGATGCCAGAGCTGAATATCATGGGGCGGCAGCTGGGGTCGCTAGCGGACTTGCAGAAGACGTTGGCGCAGGTGGGGTTGAACGGTGGGAGCGCATTGCTACGGCTGAGTTTCCGGAATAGCGGGATGCCGCTGGAAGAGGCGATGATGGAGATCTCGCAGTACTTCAGGGAAGTTGAAAGAGGGCCACCGGTGACGGAAGAGGGTGAATCATCCCGCTCTGTCGCAGCAGTCGACGGTGCAGGAAACTCAGAAGCAGACGCCCCTCCTCCGGCACCGAAACCCGAGGAGCCTACCCAAGCTACACCAACCCCACCACAACCTACCACCACCGCCCCTTCCGAAACACACCCCTCTTCCCCCTCTCCCCCCTCTCCCCCCTCTGAACCCCTCCCCTCCTCGTCCCCCATCACACGCCCCACCACCATCTTCCTCCCCCCCTCTCACTCCACCACCTCCACCACCTTCAACCCCTCCGACTACATCCCCACCATCGAACACGCCAAAGCGCACCAAGCCTCTCTCGTCGCCGCCGCCCAAAACCGCCGCCTTCCCTCCGACGCCGAGCTCGCCGCACGCGACGCCGCCCGCGCTTCGGCTCTCGAGTCCGTTGAACGTGTGCGCGTGCGCATCGGACTGAGCGACGAGTGGGGGGTGGAGGGGGAGTTTAAGCGGGGGGAGACGGGGGCGGATGTGTACGCGTGGTTAGGAGGGATGATCGCGACGACTTCAACAAAAGCAGAGGAAGGGAAGGGAGGAGGCGGTCCCGGGTTCGTGGTGAAGTATCGCGGGGACGATGGGCGGCTAGTCGAGTTGCCGCGGGGCAAGGGGCTAGTGACGGGGTTAGGGTTGCGGGGGGCGACGAAGATGTTTATGGAGTGGGAGGGAGAGGGGAGGGGGCGGAGGGTGTTGAAGGAGGAGTGGAGAAGGAGGGCGGGGGAGTTGAAGGCGCCGGAGGTGCCGGAGGTGGAGGAGGAGGGGACGGGGAATGCGGTGGCGGAGGGGAGGGGGAGAGGAGAGGGGAAGAAACCGTCCACTGGGTCGTTTGAGGATAAGATGAAGAAGATGTTGTTTGGGAAGAAGCGGTGATGTGGGACCGATATAAAAAATCAAGCTGGGTTTGAAAGCATTGGCAACGGTGTACGGATACTCCCGGTTCATATAACGGTTCTCGACCAAATGACGAGCAGATTCACACCCGACGTGAGAATAGAAGGGGTCTCAATATTGACTTTATAGAAGATTTTGTTCCATTCCATTCCATTCCGCTATTCGATGCAAAGTGCCTTGAACGAGAAAAATAAAATGCATGGAAGGGTGCGGAACAGCTCCGGCACCACGAGCGTCGTTACGTTTCCGCCCATTGAATTTCTCTCGTTGGTGATCTAATCATCTCCCTCGCCCGTGACTTTTTGGGAACCGTGGAAAATGGTGTCCGTTCCCCCAGGCCCGAACAAAGTGGTTGCAGAATTGATCCATCCCCGAAAAAACGCCCGAATCGTGAGATTTGACATTTAGTGGCCCGCGCGTCTCGACTCGGTGATGATCTTGGTCATCTCGTCGACCTTCCTCTTCGCGCGGCCGTAGGTGCCGAGTCTCTTCTTGGCCAGCTTGCGGGCGCGCTTGTCCTTGCTGTTGCGGAGGAGTTCGATGACTCGTCGCTCGTAGGGGGCGAGGCTGTTCAGATCAGGGTTAGCATTCGGTGTTCCATCGGCCTGTTCCAATTCGTGCCGCGGGTGGATTGGGTTTGGTTCGATGAGAACGGTGGAGAGACGTACCCAGCAACTTCTCGGACGATCTCGCGGACGAAGGCGGTGCGCTTCGAGAGGTGACCTTTCATACGCGATACACGCGGCTTCGGTGTACGGGGAGTGACTTTCTATAACGCAGCACAATCCATCAGCATTTGTTGCATTCCAAGAACCTCGACTGCGGCGGGCGGGCATTGGGATCTTCTCGGGAATCAGAGAACACGTACATGGCCGGAGTTGAGGCCAACGGCGAGGCCGCTCTTCTGCTGAACGTCCTTCGGCATGATGAAGGAACCGTGTGCAGGAAATGGAGGGAGATGTTGAGGTGCTGCGGGTTAGTTGAAGGGTTGGAATGGAGGTGGTGGATGGACGTTGAGGAATTTGCGGGAGGGACTGGTGCGCAGGCGAGGGTGGGGTTGTGATTGGTGGACAACGCGAGGCCAGCCGAGCGAAGGGGAAAAGGTTGTTCCGGATAGAAAATTTTGTTGGCCTTGTTGCCTGAGGTATTAAATTGGTCACGTGCAGGTAGTTATTTATTTACCTGATGTGTATTAATTATGTCAAAGCTCATAGATGTCTTACAGCCTCGTTGCCTCACCAACCCACTCACACCAGCACCAGCACAGACTGGCTGACCCCCTGATCATCCCTCAAACTCCGGGCATCCAGACTTATATCAGACGCGGGATGAGTGTCCGTTGTCACAGTTTTACAATTGGTCATGATCGGTTGATGAGTTCGAACTGAAGACCTTGATTCTGGTAAACCAGCCAGAAATAAAACCTTTATCTACTTGTAGTAGGAAATATGATAAACAACCAAGAAATACCCCTTTTTCCCGCCCACCACATTCTCCCATCCCATAACTAACCCCCTCACTGCCGTCCTAGCCCCCGAAAAAACCCCAACGCAATCCCTAACGCCGCAACCGCCAGCCCAACATTAACCCACTGCCCCCCACGCAGGCCACCCAGCAGGCCACCGTCCCCAACTTTCCCCACCCCCCCTCTCTGCACCCCCGTCTGCGCCGCTGTCGCGACCGCCAACTCCAGCGCGCGCCCGACGAAGTTCGACGTCATCAGCAGCGCGCTCCCAAGCGCCTGATCATCGTGCGGAAGTTCCCTGGCGATGACGAGGCTGGCGACGGGCCAGATGACCTCGACGGTGAAGCAGAGGAGCATGGCGGGGAAGCCGTGGGCCCAGTAGGTGGTGGTGGGGGGGATGGGGGGAGGACGAAGAGGAACGGGGGAAGGAGGCTGCAGGTTAGGGCGGTGAGGAGGAGGTGGGAGGATGGGAGGCGGGAGAGGGCGGGGGAGAGGAGGAGGGAGATGAGGACTGTGAGGTTAGAAGCGGGGGTGGAAGGGTGGGGGGATTGAAGAATTATCTTACCGCCTGAGATACCGGCAGCGAGAAAGCGCAAAGTTGTTTGCAGCTCGCTCAATCCGAGATAGCTCTGATAACTAGAGTTGGGGGATTTAGCCTCTGTACTCCACCGTTGCTGGAAGGGAGCGTGACTCGATAGTCGAAAAGTGGCGCCTACAAGTACGTTGCAAAGATCAGGAAGCCGTTGTACGACGCGAAAAACACCCGACCATTATGAACAGAGCGGAGAACCGGACATTCTTAAACATGGACACCCGTAAAAGAGGTGGCCGGCTCGAACCTCGCTCTGAACGGCGCTGCCAGAAGAAAAAGACAATAAGCAGAATGACAGCGAGTACAATCAACGGAGGAATCCAAGCCGTCGACCAACCGATGACATTTCCCTGGCTCAAAGCCAAAAGGAGTAGAAGCAAACTGGTCGAAATGATGGCCGCACCGAGCCAGTCGACATCGAGCGCCTTGCGTCTGAAACCAATGCTTTCAGAATTGGCCTTTCGTTTCCGGATTTGAGGTGCCGACATCACCATGGCAGCACCCACGGTCGTGAACGCTCCTACAATCGTCGAAATCCAGAAGACCCATTTCCAGGACAAATAGCCCCCTACTAGCCCGCCCGCCAGGTTCCCCAAGATGGATCCCAACGACGCCACCGCTGCCACCGCGACGAACCCCCGATTCCGCGCCGCTCCAGGCGCAAACGTCGTCGCGATGGTCCCCAACCCCGAGGGAATCATTGCCGCACCGCTCACCCCCTGCAGCGCACGCAGGACATAAAACGCGATCTCCCCCGTCGCGAAGGGGAGGCAGAGCGTCGACAGCGTGAACAGCGTTGACCCAGTCAGAAACACCGGATGGTGGCCGTAGACGTCGGCGATACGGCCCCACGGGAGCATGACGCACCCTACCGAGATGTTGTAGATGGAGACGACGATCTGTTGGGCGCTCGGCGGGATGGCGAGGTCGGCGCCGATGGTAGGCAGGATGATTACGACGGAAGACATGTTGAAGATCTAGGGTTGGCCATGAATTACGAGTTCGGTGGCGAGGGGGTGGTTGATACTTGGAACGGGTTGCAAGACCGAGATACGTACAGGGAGGAAGGCGGCGCTGGATATCGCGCTTACGAGAAGGATACTTCGCGCTTTGGAGAGTTGAGGATACAGAGGAGGTGGGGTCCCGACCTCGATCCCATCGTCGCCTCCAGGCGGGAGTTCAGCCGTAGCGACATCACGGTTTGACAAGGCGATATCGTGTGTAACATCAGGAACACCTACGCTGGTTTGCTTGGTGTCTTCGGCAGGTGACTTGTGGTCAGACCAATGGAGCGGTTTTGGCGTGTTGATATTGCCAACCCGCCCGGCCGCCCCCACAGTTGTTAGCGCCGATTAGTGCCCTGAATCATGAATTCATGATATTGTGAGATTAGTCAGCAAGATAGTACTGTTGCCTTATGGCCTCAGATATCAATAATCACGTGGTCCCAGCCAATCCTCTAACACTAAACCTCCGAGAGCAGGAAAAGATGAGGAGATGACGATTTTGGTGGGAATTTTGGTCACACGTGCCGTTGCCCGCTGCCTAAGACCAAGGGCAGGCAGCAGTAACAACAGTCAGGATTAACGGGTAACGCTTAATTAGTTAGTGTAACTGGGCAGGTGTGCCTCAGCCCTGAATCCTGATAGACGTAAGGGGTGCTACTGAAAAAGGCGAAGGGACAGCAGGCGGGATCAGAACAATAGGAGATGTGAGAACACTGAATAGGGTCATACTAAAAGGGATACAACCTCGTGTAAGCAACTTCCGGTAGCAATCATTCCTCCGCGGCAGGAATCCAGCAGAATGCACTATATGCAGCTGGATAATCAGCACTGATGTGGAATTGCTTGGAGTAATTTCCCTGTGGCGTCAGCGGCACCTCTCGCCCGCCCCGCCGCTTGAACAGAGTGCCCATCTCCATTGTCCACATCTATCGGATCGAACTGAATGGCCTTTGTCCATCCTCCGCATTGATATCCGCCTTTCTCTCCTCTCACCCCCGATTCCCTGGAACTCTGAGCAGCTCCGCCATCCATCTTCCGAGTATCATACACGACAACCATCTCTTTGCCCGGATCCAACCAAACCCCCGGCCGTGGCGGACGTGCATCGCAATATACGCCAACCCCGCGACCATCTCTCGCCGATATTACGCTTCGATTTCGCGCCATATGTCGCGGTCCTACCTGCAAATTTGACCAACTTGACACCCAGCATTACGAGCTCCATGCCGTGACCGTCGCCGACCGCGCTTTTGTATCCATTCCTTTATTATACATACCTTCTCCTGGACAGGGTCGGTTGAGCATCCACGCTTCCGCACAGTGTAGCCGCGATGGGCAACGTTTCAAGCAAGGCGGGTGACGAAGGTCAACTTGTCTTGCGCGATCAGTCACGCTGTATGGTTTCCCTTGTCTGTCCCTCCGCAATATTAGTATCTAACCTTTGGGGGCCCGACAGTTTCGATCTCGAACGTATCCATTACGAATTCCCGGGGCCGTACTATTCTTAACATTACTCCGAATGCATATCCTGCGACGAGGTTCAGCGCCAAGCGCGACTTGGGGGACGATGCTGTAATAGACTATGTACAGGTACGCAAAGCTGGCTTTGGATCAGAAGTCCCCGGCTAATGAGGGCGCTGTTAGGACCCTGAAGCTACTCCCGCTGCTCTTCCCACATTCCTCCTCCGACTTTCGAACGACGATGAAATCAATATCAACTTCACCTTCATCGTGCGACAAGAGCAATCCCCGGGGAGCGCAGACGGCGAGAATCCGACCGCCCCAACTGACACTAATATCAATGGTTTGACCTATATATTTGGGTCGAGTTTGAAAGAGCTGGACAACCTAGTGACCCGAGAATTCCATGCCGATCCAAACCTGCACAAGAATTCGAACGTGCAGTTGATCGGAGATTACTCGACCAGCAACAGCTCGTCGGTACAATTTACATGGTCATGGAAGTGGAGACCGCCGAAACCAGTGGAGGAGAAGGGAGGAGGATGGCGTACTTGCTGCAGCGTAAGGCGAGCGATTGGCTGATTTAGGATGATACTAACGTCTAATAGTTCGTGGAATACAACCAGCGCGCGCACAGATTGGATTCGTTGGCAACTTTCACGTTTTGGGTGCAGAGTACGTATATTCGGCTACTAAAGCAGCGTCAATTATTAACGGCAGCAGATCAACGCCCGCTTGGCAGTCCAAAGATACTGTCACCCCGTTTAGATATCGGTGTGCCACCTCGATTGCGGGTACCTTCCGCGCAATCCGTGGAATCTCGCTTGAGCGACTCGGATCCCGGCGAAACCAAGGAACAACTTCCACCACTCTCTCCAACCATCGAAGCGATCCCCGAAGATGGCCTAGGTATTCTCCCCGTCTCGACCACCTCGACTGTCGGTGGCCCTAATGCGGTCAAAGTCGACGTGGCATGTCAGCGACCCGGAGGAGATGTAAGCGCTGTAGAGGACGGTCCGCTCTTCCGCGCGACCATGAAGGCGATGGAGCAAAGGACAGGGTCCATGCGGACGCGGTGGAAGAAGGTCCTCAAGCGAGCAGAGGCTTCCCACGAAGCACAGGGGTCGTGCAACGAGGCAATCGCTGCGCTGATAGAAGCCCTGAAAGATGTCTCGTCCTCGAACGCGAACGCGGTTCAGCCGGCTATCGAACACTATTTCGACAAGATCGCGCGCGAGATTTTGGCGTACGAGAAGCAGAACACGGTCAATCTGCAAAAGATGATCATTGATCCCATCAACAAGCTGTACAATGTCGATATCAAGCAGGCCGACTCCAAGAAGAAAGACTTCGATGACGAAAGTCGAGAATACTATTCATACGTTGGACGATACCTTGGTCAACGATCGGATTCTTTGAAAGAGAAGAAGCGCGTGGAGACCGATTCGAAATATCAATCCAAGCGACGGAATTTCGAGCTCAAACGTTTCGACTATTCTTCGTTCATGCAAGACCTTCACGGCGGCCGCAAAGATCAGGAGGTCCTTTCGCAACTGACCCGATATGCCGTCGCGCAAACACGGGGCTATCTCGCGGCGGCGAAGAAGATCGAGGCGATGCTCCCCCAGTTGGACGCGCTCACGCATGAGGTCCAAGAGGCCGCCAAAGAGTATCAGCTCCAGAGGACGGAACGAGAGGAGAAGCGACGCGCGTTGGAGAAGAGCTCCACCGCATATAGGGAGCCGGAATATCCGACCACAGCCCCCGCCAGTTCAACTCAGACTAGTGCACCCAATGGCCGGTCTGCGATCGCCAGCGACTCGGAGGCGACATTGCGCAGTGAGGCCACCGTGGCGAAAACTACGCGTAGTGCGTCGACCAGCCAGATGACGGCGGCCTTAGCCATCGCCTCCAATGGCCAGATGGATGGTCCGCAAACGAACAAGGCCGCCGCCCTTTCCGCATCTCCAAACGATAAGTTTAAGGGCTACCGGGATCTGGAAGAGAAAGATTACACGCAACCGAGGGATGGAGAGGGAAGTGCAACTCTGCACAAGAAAGAGGGTTTGCTGTGGGCGTTGAGTCGACCGGGTAGTCATGTGGACCCGAAAGGCCTCAATAAGCAGGCGTGGCATAAGTATGTTCTCAAATGACTTGCAAGCGGATGGAATGCTAACGTCGCAGATTCTGGATCGTACTCGATCAAGGCAAGCTTACCGAATACACGAATTGGAAGCAGAAGCTCGACCTTCATATGGACCCGATTGACTTGCGAGTCGCATCCGTCCGAGAGGCACGCAATGCGGAACGCCGATTCTGCTTCGAGGTCATCACGCCCAGCTTCACCCGCGTCTACCAAGCCACGTCGGAAGAAGACATGAAGAACTGGATTTCCGCCATCAACAACGCTCTACAGACCGCCTTTGAACGACGAGCCCCATCCGAAAGCCCCTCGACCGACTCCTTGCCAAACTCCACGCGACGCGATATCGCCTCGGTGCTGACCGGAAAGAGTCCCTCCATTTCTGGCCACCGAATCTCTCACTCCTCCTCCAACAAGATGGTCAGCCGACATGCGACGGTCAACGACCGCCCCTCCTCCAGCCGACCCACCGATCCCGCCGCCGCCGATGCCAACGCCGTGAAGCTCCTGAACCAGATCCGCGAGACGGACGCAGGCAACAAGTTCTGCGCGGACTGCGGCACGGAGACTCGCGTCGAATGGGCCAGCATCAATCTCGGTATCATCATCTGCATCGAGTGCAGCGGTATCCACCGCTCCCTCGGCACGCACATCACCAAGATCCGCTCCGTCACCCTCGACCCCTCCTCCTTCACCCCCGACGTCGTCGAGCTGATCCTCACCATCGGCAACCGCGTCAGCAACATGATCTGGGAATCCCGCCCCGTCGACACGATCCCCAAGCCCCTCCCGACCTCGACCCGCGAACAGCGCCTCAAATACATCACCGCCAAATACGTTGACCGCGCCCTCGTCACCCCCATCTCCCGCACCCTCTCCCATTTCCCCACCCCCGACGACACCCTCCTCGCCAGTGTCAAGCAAAACGATATCAATCACGTCCTCTACGCCCTCGCCGTCCGCGCCAACCCCAACGCCACCGACCGCAGCCGCAACACCCACGTCGTCTACCTCGCCCTCGCCGCCGCCGACCCCGCCTCCCCGGCCGACACCTCCTCCCCCTCCTCCACACCCCCGCCACCTTCCACCGGCCCGCGCAAGGCGTTCCCTCTCGCGGAACTACTCCTCCTCAACGGCGCGAGCTTGCCGACCACTCCGCCGCCGTTCCCGCTCTCCGGGCCCGCGAAGATGTATCTCGATGCGAAACGGGAGCGGGAGAATTTGAGTCAACGGGGCGGAGATACGGTGACCGCATTGCCGATGATTTCACGGGAGGGGGTGACGGAGCGGGGTCTAAAGCGGGGGAGCATGGGACCGTTGGGGAGTAAGGATCGGAGGGTGTTTTGAGTTGGGATTCGAGGCTTGGAATGGCGCGTTGGACATTGGATGAAAGTGCGACGGGCGTTACTTGGATTGGGCGGCCGGGGAAGATCGCCTGCGCGTGTTTCCTCGAACACATACAGTGCACGATCTAATGATATTAGTGGTCAGGTTTCTACGACGAGGTTTTCGGGATTCGGCGACCTGACATGGACGAATTCTCTTCTGTTGTTGTATTATTGGAATCGAGCATGGACAGTCTCGTATGTCGCGCGTGCAGTACTGAACCTACCTTACCTGTTTCAATTGAATCCTGAGAAGCAGAGTTTCAAGATGCGATCCATCAGTGCCTATTAAGAACTTATCCAGTGAAAATAGACGGAAGGATTGTTACAGCTTGATCTGGCTTGCTATTGCATCCTATAGGATCCGACACTTACAAACCGGTATACACGTTGGGTGTTAAGAAACAGTTGAACTGTTCTTCACATCACTTCTCTAACTAAATCACTTCAATAATCCAATCCGAGCGAGAAGGTATTCGCGATGAATTACCGAAGACTGTTCGGACCTGAATTCACTTGCCTAGCTGGACAGCCTTCGCTCTTTTGAATGCCTTCTCTTCCTCTCCATCGAGCCTTCTCTTCTCTTGGCCTTCATCATCTTCGTATAGAAACTACACTCGCAAGCAGCACTCAACTCGTCCTATATTCAAATCAGCACTTCACAGCGAGAACATAGCTCCTTGACTCATCACCAAACCATCGTACATACCATACCATACCTTCCCACCATCACTATGGCTCACGCAGTCTCCAAGCTTTCCTCCCCGACCCACCGAATCTCGAAGTTCTTCATCCGAACCACCAGGATCAAGCACACCAAACCCTTCCCCCGGTGCAACAAGCCCTCCAAACGCTCCTCCAAGCCCGCAGTCTCCCCTACATCGCCCTGGGGCCACCAAAAACCCTCCGTCGCGGCTCTCCAATTCTACATGTCCTGGGTGATCAGCCCGGCCGACACGCCCGCGCTCCTCGCCGCGAAGGTCGAGCGGTTCGCGAACTACGTCCACGAGCCCGACCATCCGCCGTCGGGGTGCCAGGGGCGCTCGTTTGAGGATATCCCGGTGAAGGAGCTAGAGGGTGTTCATAAGGAGATTTTTCGGAGGATGATGGTGGCAATTATGATGGATTAGGGTATCCTAGAGTTGCTTCTGGGGGGTAGGTGATTCCTTGCTCTTTCTTCGTCATGGTTTGCTGATGGGTGGATGCAGTGTGGTATAGACGTCGTCGTTCATCGTCGGTCGTCGTTCTATCATTACGGTTTTGGTCCCAACGGTGCACTGCGGTGGAGGCGAATGATACGCAAACAGGAAACGGAATGGACTATGAATGAACAGAAACAATATGGAAAAGAGGATACAGTCTTTCGCAAATACTTAGGATAGTGCGGTTGATAGGCCACTATCGTCTTGTCGTTCTTGAATACAAACCTATACAACTTTGTTGCCAATATGCGCTCTGATGATGAATGGTAAGATGGTGTATACAGTATATGACGGCCATCGACTAGGCTCTCCTGAATGATGATCGAGGTCTAAAGACTCTCTCACGACATGAGATGGTCAATATTGACGACTTTCTTCGAATCGGACTCCTCATCCCTCTCGCTCTCTCACACACGATGATGGATGAGTGATCGGTCCTATCATCATCTCAACCAGCACCTCTGATGACCACGCATCTCCGACGCCATTTCTCGCACAAAAATGAAATCCCAACGATTATTTCGATACAAGTAACATGATAGTGATGATATTTGATAATGATAACCGATGAGTCGACGTCGAAGCTACTAGGATAAGTGTCCGTTGCGGTCCGTTGCGGAGAGGCGCCGAGCACATCCCATCGGCCCATCCCCTCATTTCCCAATCGGGCGTTCGCCTGTCAGGAACCTGGTGGACTGGGGAAAGCTTCAATTCAGCAGTTGGCAGTATCAAAATCCTCCCTCCTCCATCCCCAATTCAGGACTCGTGGCTTCTTTTCGCTTCACGACACCGTGTAATCTTTGAATCAACCGCTATTTCAGAGTCTGAATTCCCTCGAGAAGCCAGTGGTTCACTCTTCTGTCTTTACCACCCACTCCGGAGCTTCAATTGCACTTTACCGTGACATTTCCTCATACACCGCAACCATGGCGCACGCAGAAGCAGGCTCGCTTTATCCCCCCCTCAACCAGCGTCCCATCAAGAACACCGTCGTCCTTTTTGACGTCGATGGCACCCTCACCCCCGCCCGACAAGTCCGTATCCCCCCATCCCCCCCTCTCCCATCCCTCACTAACCCCCCCCAAGGACGCCTCCCCCGCCATGCTCCAACTTCTCTCCGAACTCCGCCACAAAGTCGCCATCGCCTTCGTCGGCGGCTCCGACCTCGTCAAGCAACAGGAGCAACTCGGCACCGCCTCCGTCAACGTGACCTCGCTCTTCGACTTCTGCTTCTCGGAGAACGGGCTCACCGCCTTCCGCCTCGGGGAGCCGCTGCCCTCCACCTCGTTCATCCAGTGGATCGGGGAGGAGAAGTACCAGGCGCTGGTGCGCTGGATTCTGCACTACATCGCGGATTTGGAGATTCCGGTGAAGAGGGGCACGTTTGTGGAGTTTCGGCATGGGATGATTAATGTGAGTCCGGTGGGGAGGAACGCGAGCGGGGAGGAGAGGCATGCGTTCGAGGCGTATGATAAGGAGCATGGGATCCGATCAAAGATGGTAGAGGAGTTGAAGAAGGCGTTCCCGGACCTGGGATTAACGTGAGTTGCCCCCCTTTAATCCCATCTCAACCTTTATTTTACTTCTTATCCTTGAACCTAACTCTGGTCACCTATCCATAGCTACTCCATCGGTGGCCAAATCTCCTTCGATGCCTTCCCCACCGGCTGGGACAAGACCTATTGCCTGCAGCACATCGAGGCCGAGAAAACCCGCCCGGACGGCGTCGACTACTCCACCATCCACTTCTTTGGCGACAAGACCTTCCCAGGCGGCAACGACTACGAGATCTACGACGATCCGCGGACGATCGGGCATAGCGTCAAGAACCCCGAGGATACGGCCCGGATTTTGAAGGAGCTGTTTTTCTCGTGAGCGAGCGGCATGCCGACGGGGGGGTTGCTGAAGATAAATAGAGGCGTTCGGAGGGTGGGATTGGTTAATCAAAAGGTGTGAGGAAGCCCGGAATAGAAATCGGGGTAATTCGCTGAAAGAGAAATGGTGGTAACCTGAATTATGCGACGCTGGAGTGGCTAGCTATACAATTAGGTGAACCAAAATCCGAGCATGGATCGCACCGCATTATGCACAACTTTCGCTGCGATGGAACCGTCCTTTATCTGCGTTGCACTGCTGCACACTTCATAGTATTCCTCCGCCAACCCTTTCATTCACTCAACCAACTCCGTACTCCACCACTAAAAGCTCCATGATCGATCCAGTCGGCGTAAAACGATATCCCACCGCAAGCACTATTGGTGTATGATACACGGGATATCGATGGCGCCCACGCGGCTCACCAATCACCATCTCCCAAACGAAAGTCGCTCGCTCTTCTCCTTGTCCGCTCCTAAACACGCCAAATCAAATAAGTCAGCGACCCGGTCCCGGCAAGGAGTCCACTCACGAAAAATGACCCCGGGCATCGCCCAGTCGTCCTCGGTATTCCACCAAAACAAGATAGAAAGATCCCCAAGGAGGCGTAAAAGTACATGAATAACCAGGATGAATAGAACGGGGAAATAAAAAACAGTTCGCAATCCCCAATTCACAGCTCCGGCGATCCGCGCGCGCGAGCATCATCCAGCCCTTCCCCCTGCGGCTGCGACGAGGAATACACCCAAGTAGAAACGGAAGAGAACCCACTTTTGACCACGTTGGCGAGCTGGTGCAGCCGACCCTGCCCTTTCTCGCGCGGCGTGCGCATGCTGTTGACCGCGTCCATGTCCGGGCCGTCGTCGTCGTCGTCGTCATCGTCGTCGTCTTCGGAGGAGGTGGAGGAGGCGTCGCTGGAGGGAGAGGCGCGGGGGGGCTTTTTCGTGGGGGGCTTTTTCGTGGCGGATGAGAGGGGTTTGGTGGTCGGGGAGGTCAAGGCGGACGTCTTGGGGTTCTTCGGGGTCGGTGGCTTCGTTGCAGTAGGCGATCTTTTTGCTTGGCCGGGGAGTGGGGAGGACAGAGTACTGCGGCCCTGGCTCTGACTAGGGTTGAGCGCGTGGCGGAAAGATGGAAACCGGGATTTGTAGGTCGCAGGGGGCGCCGGTTTCGGTTTCGGAGGCTCTTCTTTCTTCGCGGAGGCAACGGGTTCGGTGTCGAGTATGGGAGGGGAGGAGGGGATCTCGTCGTCAGCATCGAGCATGTCCTGGTCGCTCGGCTGCGACGCAATTTTGTTGACCGCTTGCCATGCGGGCGGATGAACTGACTGTGCTGGAGATGACTCCGTTTTCTTGGCGGTGGGGAGTGACGAAGGGAGGTTCTTCTAGTATCGAAGTTAGGGTCAAGTTTACTACTCGCGGTTAGGGGTCAGACCTTTTTGGGATGGACCTTGAGCTGGGCAGGAGATCGCTCAGGCTCATCGCTCGACACTTCAGATCGTTCACGGGGCACGAGCGGCACCGGTGCCAATGCCGCTTCCGCTTCCTCTTCGTCATCCTCTTCGTCATCCGTGGTCTCCTTTTCTTCCACTGACGTTGCCTCGCTCTCGTCTTCCTCCTCTTCGTCATCCGTGGTCTCCTCCGCCTCCACTGACTGTTTCTCGATCACCTCTTCCTCAGCCTCGTCCGTCGTCTCCTCCGCTTCCACCGCCTGTGTCTCGGTCAACTCGTCCTCTTCCTCGTCACTGGCTTCTTCACTGCCGCTTACTTCCTCCTTGTCCTCTTCAGACTCCCTCTCCTCTCCCGAGCTAGAAGCGGCTTCCCTAGTGTCCGTTTCCTCATCCGCATCCGACTCGTCCGTTTCAGCGACATTTCGCTCTCCGGCACGAGTTTTCGTCTTTTCAGCTACCTTTGCAGCACGTGTGATTTTGCCGGTGCCGGGAGTCGAGTTCTTCAACCGCTCCACTTCGATGGTAGGTTCATCGTCGGTGGTGTCATTATCATCCTCATCAACGTGATATGACGACTCCTTGTTTCCGGTGTTCTCATCTATGGATGCCGATGTTGACGTTTTGCTCTCCTCTTGTTCCTCGGAGCCTTCTTCCCCACTCTCTTCTTCATTCTCCACCTTTTCCTCTCCCATTTCGGCGTCCTTATCCTCAGCTTCAGCTTCTCCATCTGCCTCAGTAGGTGCAGGAGTTATAGTAGTCCGCTCCGCCCTCGCTATCTTCGATGCTGCCGTAGCTGCCGCCTTGCGAGATATAGGAACGACATGCACCTCCGGCTGCTTCAACTCTTTCGTCTTCTTCCCTACGGCCTTTGGCGATAAAAATCTCCCAGAAATAACCGAATCGCTATCCCGTATCGACGACCGCCGATCGTCAATCGAGATCGAGTCCCCGCCGGAACTCCCCCGTCGGCTGGAGGGTGCTCGGAAGGCTGGTGCAATCGGCCGTTTGGAAGTGGAAGAAATGCTGGATGATCGGGGCGCTCGGGATAAATCTGATGGGGGGTTGGATCGGACAAGCGGTACTTCAGGATCGCTTACTTCTGAGGCATCGTCGTCCGCAGTGATGTAGGTGGCGCTTTTGGAAGATGGGCGTTGACCGAGTCGTGTAACCTTGTCGGTCGCGTTTCGAGGACTAGCCGAGACGGAGATCGCCGCGCTGTCGCTGTTCCGTAGGCCAGACCGTTTCGGTGGAGGACGCATTACATTCAGAGAAGAGGCCGGGGGAGATGATTTAGGAGCGTCATTGATTCGCCCATTGGATTTGAAAAGCCTCGCCTTTCCCTTTATCGATTCATAGCTCCGCCCAGGAAGTAAATTGCTGTTCTCGATGTATTTAAGGGTCATGCTATTCCTCAGCGCCTTCAACAGCGTTTCTTCCTCGTGGTCATCCCATTTATTTCCGCCGGCAGCAGGTACGGTCTTGGTAGCAACACTCTTCGCTCGTCTTGATGCCGATGTGGCCCTCGGGGTCAGAGACTTCGATTGCGCTGAACGAGAGCTTTCACCTCTCTGAGGGACCAGATTGTTCTGCGTGAGGAATGGTCGCATATTCCCCATCAATTTTGATGCAACGGGCGGCGACGGTTTCCGCGGTAGCTGTGCCGATTTACTGGAAGTCGCGGAACCGACTTGTCGTTGCTCCCTCGCCGCGTCGAGTGCCTTAGATGCGGACATGGGACCCGAGGTTTCCAGTGATCCGTTCGGACGGATTCCCAAGACGTTGTTGCCTGGCTTTCTGGGTGTGAAAAATGACGGCCTTGATAGTTTGCCCGTTGGTTTGGGAGGGGCCTCCTCTTCATCCTCATCTTCCGATATGGGAACGTCGTAGTCATCCGCTCGTAAATCCTCGCTCGGTCGAATCTGAATGGGTGAAGATGACTGCTCCGGTGCATGGTCTTGCTCGGCCGTGTTGTTAGGGATAGAGGACGGGATCGCAACGTCGGAGTCTTCGACAATTCTAGCCGCCGACTTCTTCATCTTCTTCTTCTTCTTTTTTTCCTGGGACGATGGGGATACCAGCGCATCCGGTTGGGAGTCTTTGACCAGAACCACCCCATTGCGCCCGGTCACTTCGACATCCCCTGTAGCCCCAGCTTCTGCGTCGTGATCCACGTCCACCTCCATCGATTCAACCGGGACATCCGCGTCCTGATGTTCAGCGACACGGTCAAGCCTCCTTCTCTTGTTTGCTTGCTCAATGACATCCAATTTCCTCTTCAGGGCGGCCGGCTGGAGGTTGGACTCCGGTGGAATCGAAGAGAATCGGTTTTGCGTGGCGGGGATAACTTTCACGATGAGCTGGTCATTTGGAGTTCCCTCAAAGATCTCTTCAACTGTGTCGCCAATGTCCAGATCAGCTCCATAGCCGTCCTGGAGTTTCTTGATCGCGAACTGCCTTCCCGATATCAGCACCGACGTGTGACGGTTACCGGGATAGTTGGACGGTTTCACTTACTGCGCACTGCGACCGCTCAAATAATTCCGTTTGTATCGCTCCTCTATCCGCTTCCATACTTCCTCGAAAGTCATGCTGGGCTGCACGGGCAGATTGAATATCCTACCCGTCAGTGGGCCCTTGGTCGCGGGCTTGAACGCAGCAGATGCGGTCGCCGCACCCTGATCGGGCGGGAGGACCTCGACGCGAAGACGCATTTTGAAGCTATGGTATCAAAGTGAAGATTCGGTATTCAACGGTGGAGGAAGGTTAGGAACAGGGAACGCGCGCAAGCTTTGAACTATCAACCATGCTGAAGTCGAATGCGAAAAGTGGAGCGCTAACGCGAGAAGTTGCGAAGGGAGAGCGGTAGAGACGGGATGGAAGAATGGAAGAGAAGTGATTATAGGGTGGTACTGAAGTGGAGTGATATATCACGTAAAAGTTCCGTTGAAGGTCTCTTTTCTCGCGGAACGCAAATGTATCAAACGGAGCTCCCACGGTCCCACCTCCAGATGCCAATTGCCAAACAGAAGGCGCCATGGTCCGAGCTCCTTCCCGAGCCTTCCAGAGTTCCAGAGTTCCAGTCTTCGGTCTTCCACACTTCCACCCTTCCTATCTGCCCAACCTCCTCAGTCTTCACTCACCTTCGTACGGTATGACTTAACTTTACACTGCTACGGATTCCCCGAGTAACTCGCGGAATTGCAATCAACCACCCATCGCGAGCGGGAGTTGCTTGCTGGTAATGCTGGTGCTAACAAAGATGTGTGGTTGTCTGCTGACACAGTCCCAATAGCGGGACGTCGGGGGGAGGGTCAACACTTAACAGCCACCTCCGACGACGTCAAGAGGCAAATGGCTTTGATTATCGGTCACCGATTCACTGGTTCTGGATATATCCCCATGGGTACGCGCGGGTGTAATCTCATTTTCACAAGGAGCTACCCAATTCCAGATGTGATGACGGATGGTATATATACTACCTGACAATGGCCAGATGATTCATGCCGTAATAGTAGTTGAATCTCTTTCCGCATGGATTGCCGGATTGGCGTGGTGTATAAGGTATTCGGTCTGGTAATTTGCATTATTTCATAACCCAGTCAACCACTATTGTCATCCTTGGCTTCTTTCATCTGTCATAGTCACATATATCCCATAATGTTTGCGGGGGATAATGCTCCAGTTCCCACCAACCCCTATCAAACGAATCCCCCCTCTAACCCACCGTCGCCGACGCCGCGCAAGCCTTAATCGTTTCCGTCCCGGTCGCCACCGTAACATTCTCATCGCACAGTCGAACCTACTCACGTCAGCACCTCCCTTCCAATCCCTAGATACCCATTACTCACCGGTCCATGCCCCAACGCAACCGTCCGCAACACACACCCCTTACAATCCACGCTGCTCGTCGCCACCACGTACGTCTCATGCCACGTACACGTCCCCCCCAGCCAGCCATCCTCGTCCGTGTCCGGCGCTGACGAGGTGACTGCGTCACGCCGATGTTTCATGCCGATGAAGACGAGGCTCGTGCAGGGGGCGGAGGAGGCAGAGATCATTGGGCCGCCGGGGTTGTAGGAGAGGGGAGTAGGTGCGGGAACTATGGGTCCGCCTGGGTTAAAGGATAGAGGAGGAGCAGATGCGGGAATCATGGGTCCGCCTGGGTTAAAGGAGAGGGGGGTAGGTGCGGCAGATCCACTGATGGTGGTGCTCTTCACAGTACTGGAGGGGCGGGCTCCTGTGAATAGTGCGGAGGCATGGGAGCTGTGGTATACCGTTAGCGATTTGGGGAGAGGATGGTTGGGATATGGCTTACGCGAAGAGAATAAGAGATATCGCGGATAAGAAGAGTTGCATCACGACTGATCGCTGTCGTTCAGCTAGTATGATACAATAATTCGAATACGATGCCGGTGTTATAAAGATCTATAAGTGCTTGCGATGAACTCGAAGTTGGTCAGCAGCTCATACACGGAGTAGCTAGTCTTTCGTGCTTTCTGGTACTGACTACCGTGGATCAGCTGGCAGGAGCATATTTGGCTTCGGAACCTTCGATGCTACATTCGCAGCATGCATGTAGTCCGTGAAAATTTTCGAGACAGCCAGTGAAGTTACAGGCCGAATGCCATCTTTCCCGTCATCCAATCTATACAGATTGAGCAGCTGTGAAGGATGGTTATATGGCTCAATTTTATCACCGTTCTCAGCTTCGCCCGGGGCCGACATCAGATGAAGTGGAGCAGGAGGGGATTTCGAGCAGAATATGGCCAATTGCTGTTTGAGGATTAATTACAAGACTGCATCGAGTATGATTGGCAATAAGAGCCATATGACAAATATATTTGGTTGGATTGGTACCCTGGTCCTGACTCCGGAATTAGTGAATCAAGCTTCCGGCTGACATTGAGTTCGCATGGAACGAAAGCACCAGAGCGTTACCATTTGATGAGCATTTACAACCCCGGGTGCAGTCATCTCAGGGTTAAACTGTAGCCACGTGTATTGCTCAAAGAAATCACTAGACGCCACGGAGCTCAACACCCCAAATGCGCCATCGAATGCGACGTAAACCAAGTATCCTCAGCTGTGGGTATCCCACTCCCTAATCCTGCTTCAGCGGCGAAATCCGCTCCTCAATCCCATTCTCTGTCACCACCAACACCTGCAATCCATCCCCCACCTCAATATGCCTCTCCACCGCACTCGTAAACGCATCCTCCACCAACTCCATCACATAGTTCCGCGACAACGGCACCACCTCCCGCGCCTTCAAATCATGCCCCTCCCCGCTCCCCGGCACGTACTGATTCTTGAAATTCACTTGATTGTCCAAAAACGGCATGATCAAACTCGCCGCCGCCCCGCCCGCCCGACACTGCTCCCGCTCATAGCTCCCCACCGGATCATAGCTATACAACGCCCCCTTCCCCTCCTCGTCGATCCCACCTAGGATCGCATGCGTATAATACGGGAAGAACCGCTTCCCATACAGCAGATGCGACAGCCGCTGCGCGCACGCTTTAACTGACATGTCCTTCCCGTGCTCGTACCGATAGATTTTCACGATGGTGTCGAGGCGCTCCTTGAGGGCGGCGCCGTCCGCGCCGAAGCCGACAACGCCGAGGATGATTCGCGCGCCGGTGGCGTCCGGGCCCTCGCCGCCGATGCGGAACAGCTTGGGCGCCATGCGGGAGTTGATGTTGTAGCCGGAGGTGGACCGGGTGTCACCGGCGAGGATGGTGAAGTCGGCGCCGGAGATGCCGAGGATGGAGCCGCCATTGTCGGTATAGCTATGGGGGATGTTAGTGACGTTGGAAGGGGGGGATGGGGAAGTTACGGGTAGAAGCCATGTTGTTTGGGGGCGGAGGCGGTGGTGGGTGATGTGAAGGAGTAGCCTGGCCCGTGGTCGGGGGCAGCGAAGGCCATGGTTTGGGGTCTAGTAGGGTCTTGTGGTGAATTGTGGTGAGAAGATTTGGAGTATGTATTGGGTTGACGGTTGGTAGTAGATGTATCGAGTGTTGGAGATTCGTTGAGGTTTGCTTGTTGTAGGTTGTGATGGAGAGCTTGAGCGTTGAAGGTTGGAGATAGACGCGAAGCTCAAGCTGCCTGCGGCTGTTGAGGCGCTAAGCCACTACCTAATAAACGCGCGATTGGGCGCTTCCTTGTCAAAGGACCCGCCAAGCCCTTAGTAGCCGCCAGCAATTCACTTTGTGAGTTGTGAGTTGCATCAGTCGGCATCTAATACGTAATCTTTCCTCTTCATACAGGTGCATTACCCGTACGCCTTGATGATTCTGCGGAACCTTCTAGTCATATAACGTATCCGAAAAAAATTAGCATGACCTATCCCGCTGCCATTCCGCAATTGAGAAGACTGAGAGGTCGACACCATGCTTGGAATGCTTGGACTGAGCTATGAAAGCAGCGAGGATGAAGATGCATCTGTTCCGTCTCAGAATGTAATTGGGCACCTACAAATCTCTCCTTAGGTCGGATATCTACTAATATACGCGGAATTAGACAAACCTTTCGGAGCGGCAGACGGTTCGGGCAAAGGAACCGAGCAATACAGCAGGTTCGGATCTTGGAGCACCTGTGCCGTAGATGCAACTAATGATTTCCAGATACTTCAGAGACACTCCCATCTCGACCTATCACGGAGACTCCGATGAAGCTCGTAACTCCAGCAGTCGACACCACACCTGAAGGACCAGCACTGGGACCATCCAGACCGCAAGCCGAACCTATCGATACAGACGAAGGACCAACTTCACGACCACAATCCCCTTACTCCGCCAACCGCACTGCCCTCCGCAACCTCACCCTCCCCCCCACCCCCTCCTTCACCATCCCCTCCTCCCCCCCGGGCAGCCCCCCCGCCTCCACCGCGAAATTCACCCAATTCCTCTTGCTCAAGAAGCGCGGCGTGCATTTCAACGAGCGCCTCTCCACCAGCGCGCAGCTCCGTAACCCCGCGCTGCTGTCGAAGCTGCGCGAGTTCGCGGGGATATCGGATGAGGAGCAGTATGCGACAGCGCTGGAGGGGGAGGACGGGGTGGTGGTGAAGTGGCCGGAGTATGCGTATGTGGAGAGGTTGGCGGCGGCGCAGGTGGGGGGAGGAAGGGGGAGGGG